AAGCTAATAGTGCTACCTTATACATTGGTGAGGGTCAAATGTGACAATGCATGCAAAATCTTTAATAGTGTTTGGCACATAGCGGAAGCTCTACAAATATGCCTGATTTGATTGTTGTGTATGGGTTGTAGCCATGCAGTGGCTGCACTGTTGGATTTTTAGTATTTAAACCCAAACCCAACCCCAAGGCAAGATTCTACTGCATCCTGAGGGCTGTGATGTGTACTGATCAGCGAATGACTCCACCCCTGGACAGTTTCCAAGTACTGGAGGAGCATCCCCTGCCATCCATGCTTCTCTGATAACCAGAATTATGTCAAAGAGAGAGAGAGAGAGAGAGAGAGAGAGAGAGAGAGAGAGAGAGAGAGAGAGAGGCACCATGGGATCTCCCCTGGGAGACACCAACTGACCATCTGGCCAATGACAGATCTTCAAACCCCAGTGAAAGGACACTCCCTCTGACTATAGACTGTGGTCCACTATCCCCTTTGCTCAACATTGACAGCTTCTCTAAGTATGTGTTAAGGGGAAGCTTCATTCCCAGGAGACCTAAGAACTCTGGCTTTGAGCAACCCCTATGAGTTCCTGTCTCCATCTGTTGGGTCTTTAGGACTTCAGTACACAATGTCTAATTTCCAGTTACTAGCAGATGCATGTCTGTGCCTATGGCTTTCTCCAATGGAAATGCCTCTGACTTGGAAATGTCTGAATATCAACACTCCCAGAAAGCAATGCTCAAATGTCTGATGGGAGTCAGTGTGTTGTCGTCCATTTGGGTGCAATGATTTTGAGAGTGTGACAATTCTATGCCTTTCCCCAAAGCTGCCCTATTGCCTTACTCGTCAGTCACAGTGGTGGATGAAATGATCAAGTAACCATTTTGACTGCTTTCCTTTCTTTGTCTCACTTCCCCACCCCCTACCAGCGTCTTCTTTCTCTTCTCCAATAAACTACTTGTCCTCAAATCTGTGTCTCAGAAACCCTTTCCAGGGAACCATACCAAGGCAGATTTCTGAAATTTTCAAACTTAGTGCTGCCAGAAGCCAGGCAAGAAATCAAATTTAATAAGTAGGGGAAGATTCCAATCTCCCATCCTTTCAATATTTGTTTGTTTTACAACCCTGGTCACTGGTACAAACAGAAGTGCAAATCTTAGCAAGATTCTTGACCATTAAGGATACATTTAGTTATGAACAGGAGACATAGCAATGGGACATTTTTTAAAGGCAGGAAATGAATAGGAGACATGACACAGGTTCATTAGAAAGTTTTCAGACAGAAAAAGCCTACTGGAAAGTGTGTCTGAATTGCTCTTAACTAAAATGTTGCCTTCCCTGTAAAGGTTTCCCATACACTTCCAATATTAAAAATTTAGCTCTCTATGCTAATAATGGTGCCCCTGATGAAAACTCAGGTAAGGATATTGGACCCTAGAAAGATACATGGCAAGCTCAACAGCATCACATATAATCGGTTTTATTGCCAGGTAAGAAATTCATATTAATATAGTGAATACATATGTTTACAAATAAACATTCTTAGAAAACAAACAAATGTTGTTGTTGTTTTTGTCTTCATTGTAGGAAGTGTTATTGGTATCATAAACTCTGCAGTTGTTGACGAGTATTAACACAGGTTTACTTGCAGACCATACGCTTACTAAAATATTCGCACATAAAATATGCTCCATTTGCACAAAAACCTGGGGGGTTAGATGGGGAGGCCAGGTGGAGCCCAAGGCTGATGGAGACTGAGATGCTCTGGGAAGGCCAAGGGAGGGAAGACTCTGCTCCCATGAAGTTGGAAGTCGGAATGGCTAAAGGCAAGTAGAGGCTAGTGCCGGGCATGGGATGGGGAAGAAATAGTCTCTCTGCTTTATTCTGGGTTCTCTTCAATGTCTCCCTACTCTAGCTACTTCTGGATCCTTATTGACCCATGGCAGTCACAATTCCCTGGACACTCTCAGCATCATGAGTCCTGTTCACCCTCTCCAGAGAAGACCAAAAAATACACTTCCCTGGCCACACTCCCCTCCCCTTTCAGTTCGGTTCCCGAAGCCAATTGGAAGGTGTTGAGACTGTGAAGCATGGTTCTTCTTGGGTTGCTACATCCTTTTGACCATGTCACAACCCTGCCACCCAAATTGTAGCTGCAGACCCCCAGCTAACAGAAGCCACCAGATGACATTGACTCAGAAGAGAAGGAACGTGGACAATAAATAAAATCTTGTAGATTTAGAGACCAACAAAAGTCCTTAACTGGGGTTGGGGTAAAGGTGAGAAGTGAGTTGAGGGCAGAGATCCAAGTTGAGCTAAGAGGGAGACTAGAATTTGCAGAACTTTTGAGCTGGAGGGAACCTCCCAGATAAGCCAGCCCAGTGCTTTCTGAAGCATGGGCTGTGTACCACTAGCATAAGCAAAATGAGTGTAAGTAGTACATGGGCATGGCACTAATTAGCTTTGAGTCACATAGGAAGTGATTCCATTTGCATTTTTCTCAGTAGATCTGGTTACTTCAAGGAGAAAGTTTTCATTACAGGCTGGTATATCTGACAATTCTTTAACATGTGCTAATGTTGTTTTAATTTATAAAGGAGATGGGAGAGATGGTGAGAGGGAGAGAGAGAGAGAGAGAGGCAAATGCCAGGCTACTATAGGTTCAGACCCTTCCACAGCAATGGTATCTAGCTAGAACTTGACAATTGCTGTTTTGTTGCCTTTGTATTGGTTTTTATACTTACTTTCTGTTAGGGAGACTGATACTGGTTTTCTATTTGTGATGATGGCAGAAAGTTTTTCTTTTAAAGGTTAACCATATTAAAAGTAAATGAGTTTAGATACAAATATTGGGAAGGTGAGACAGATACCAAAGATGTGTTGTAGGGCTACAGGTAAGTAAGTCAAGGAAACCAAGCCCAGTGGTGTTTCCTCCACTCTGGGCAGCATGGGGTCCCAGCAAAGAGGCTGAGAAAGTGGGCACTGAATCTCTCATGCCTGCTTCATCCAGCACAGAGCCTCATTCTGATAGGGGACTCTTACCTGGTGGCTTCTGTGCACAATTCCCTTTTTTTAAAAATGGCAGAGGTTTTGCTATTTCAAACAGTTTGAAAAGCTTGATCAGGCCTCAGTTCCTCATGCTTTAGGCCAGGGACTAAAGCCCAGATAGACGAAATGTATTGTCAATGTCCACAGGTCAGCTGGGAGTGAGCAGGAGAAGGACTCTGTGGCATCAGAGGGAGGCATAAGTGAGGCAGAGCACTGGAGTTCAGCATCCCAGGAAGTGCTCAGAGGCTTGCTGGGACCATGTACAGCTTCTGATACAGGAACACATGAGGGATCTCAAAGATTCCTGTTAATTAGCTAAGACCTAGACCTTTGGGGACTGGTTGAGAACATCTCAGCTTAAATACAAATCTCTTCTCTCTCAACAACCCTCTTTGGATTTCCATAAAACAAATAGAACCAGCACAGAAACTGCCTCTGTTGAGACATTGGCTGTGAGAACCAACCTGAAAACCACCTCAGGGAATCCTGGATGAGACATGAACACACTTAAATGTCTAGGTAGGTGTTTTGCGGGTCCCTGGGAATTATGGGACTGGAAACGCTTGAGAGGTTTGGGGAGCTAGAAAGTGGTAGAGCATGGGTTTGGGGCAGGGTGGGAGATAGGGAGGTGTTGGTGTTTAGGTACCCCTGACACTGCTCAGCGCCCCCAGAGGGGGTGATGGAGTGGGCTCACCAATAAAGGGCGGATGGAAACATCTACCACTGCAGAAACACAGGAGGGAGGGAGGCTAAAAGAACACAGGTTGCACTTGGGAAATGAGACTGTCACTAAACAGTAACACACTGAAGGCACCACCCACGCGTATGTATGACATTTTCAGTCCAAAGCAGTTGAAATTTGGTGGTGGCAGCGGCGGCAATGGGCTGAAGGGAGGGGAACCGGGGACTGATGGGTAGTGGAGGCCTGGTTAGTGTGTCTCTGTCTAGTCTCAGAGGCCAGGGGGACATGCCAGAAACCCGCCACCTGTGTCCCCTTCTTGCCTCCCATTGACCTCTCAGCTGTGATTTTTCTTTGAATTGTTCTTGATGTCACCGCTGATTTCCTAAGCCTTGAAGATTTTGGATGAAAATGAGTTTGCTGTTCTTCTCTGTGTTGTAGTGGACTTATACTTCATTTTTCTTTTTATAAAGAAAAGTTATTGAATATTCTCTGGACCCTCTCCCTGCCATCAAAGCCCATCCCTCCCATTTCCATAGTCATGGTCTTAATGGGAGTCCTAAAATGTTCTCTCTTCCCTGTCACTGTTAGTGGGTTCCGGGTCGTTCACGTTTTGTGAGTTTGAAGGTTGTTTCTTTTTTTGCTTCAGACGTTGGTAATATGAAAAGAACTAGAAATAGAATGGTTCGGGTCCAGCTGCTGTCTCACATTCGTCAAAATGGTGTGTCCACACCACCACTTCTTAGGATTAGAAAATGCTTCTAATGTGCAGATTCCTCCCAAACGACTCCTCTTTTTAAGTGCACGCATCACTGGTACATTTTCTACCTGCCCTCCGCCCTGGCTCATTCACCCAGAAGTGGACAGCTCATGGCCAATGGTGTATGTGCTCAAATGGACAATTTCTCTATATTGTGCTACTGTTATTTTTCATCAGGGATTTTAGTTTCAAGTTAGGAGGAAAAGAACAATTAGCCCCACGGTTTGGGCATGTTGAGTCGGCAATCTTGGGCCCGAGGCCGAAAGAGCGTGCCTCAGTTTCCCCTTTGCGGTACTTCTGGACGTCCATGCTTCATGTCTGCTCAGCTGCCCGCCAACACGTGTTAGGCATGACCCAGGACAAGCGTGATTCCGTGTCACCAGTGGGTTTCTGGTCCGTGGGTGTGGAGAGTGAGTGGTGAGTGGCTGTGTGGAGCGAGGCCAGGGAGAGTGAGGGCCGGGGTATTTTTTGCCTCTCAGTTGAGTGTGGTCTCCAGGACGCTCGGTGTGGCGCCGGCTCAGACAGTCACTTCTGTTTTGCTGTTGGTGATGAAGTAGGGCTGTGGGGGTGGGTAGTGCTGGGGGCGAGTTCCCAGGGGGTCGCTGGAGCTCGACTCGGCAGTGCCCAGCTTGCCCTTGCTGCCGTAGGCCTGCCGCCGGAGAGAATGCTCGCCGGTGTCCCAGCCCTTGAAGTTGGGGTTGGAGTTGTAGGCTAGGGGGTGTGAGGATGTCTTGTTGGTGCGAGACTTTTGTCCGTTCTGCTTGGCGGGACCGTGCTCGGGGCTGAAGGGCCGCGGCTCATCCTCCACTCTCATGGGGTGCAGAGGGAGGTTCCCCTTGGCGGCCAGCTCAGACAGGTGCCGGCGCTTGGAGTAGAAGTCGTCATTGGCCTTGTCGGCTGGAGCATGGGGCAGGTGGACGGAGAAGAAAGTAGAGAGAGGGAGAGAGAGAGGAGAGAAAGAGACAGTTAGGGACTGGCAAGTCAACCCGAAAACGGCATCCAAGTGGGCCACAGTCCAAACGACACACACACTAGAAACTCCACCTGGAACAGACAGAAGGAAGGACAGGGCCGTGTCCTTCTCACAGACAAGAGCAGGACCTGACAGCACCTCTGGACCCCCTCAAATAAGCTATCCCCACCACACTTAACCCTATTGCTTTGTTATCCTTGGTTTTCTTATAAAATGAAAGAGTTGTTTCTTCGTTATTAAAATCATGCATTCTGGTAGAGAAAATATCGAACATGTGGAGAAATATTGGTGTCTATCCCCACACTCAAGAGAACCTGTATCAACACCTGAGTGTATCTTTTCCTGGTCTTCTTAATCAACAGAATTATTTGGGAATTTTTGTTGGTGTGTTTACTTTTAGCAGTCAAGCAGACCTGTGTTCAAATCCCAACTCTGCCAACTACTAGCACTTTAACTATAGTTAAATGACTTAACTTTTTTTTAATCATCGGTTTCTGCATAAGGCACATATTCACAATAAAAAGTATATTCAATAGGATTGTTTGGAGGGTAAAATGATACAATGTGTGTAAAATGTTTAGATATTAGTCACCACCATTATCATTATCCTTGTAAATAACTGATTTCTTAGGTAGTATTCAATCAAGCACCCCCCCCTTTATTATAAACTAGTAATAAACATATTTTAATGCCAAATAATATTTTATTGAATGCAACTATTAAAAACTAATCAATGCCCCTGTTGGATGAACATTCAATTGTGCCAATATTTTGCTAAATAAAGATAAAGCTGAGGTGAGAATCTTCTGGATTAAAGCTCTCTTTGCACTTAGAATTTTGAATTTAGCATGATGTTAAAAATATTTTCTTAATCTACATCAGAAGATGGCAAACTGCAGCCCATGGACCAAATCCAGCCGCCACCTATTTTCGAAAATAAAGTTTTACTGGAACACAGCCACTCCTATTCATTTCCCCGTGCCTGTGGCGGTTTTTGCTCTGCAGTGGTAGATTCAAGTACATGTGACCCAGACTGCCTGGCCCACAGCCTGGAATATTTACTATCCAGCCCTGAAATGAATTACCTGAAGTGAAATTACTTTTAAAGGGTGTGAACATTATTAAGGCCCTTGATATATATTGCCTACTGTGCTACAAAAGAGTTATATCAATTTCCACTCCATTTCACCACACTCTCCAGCATTGATTTCTGCCCCCTTTCTTTCTTCTTTGTTCTTTGTCTCTTTTTCTCTTCCTTCCTTGCTCCTTTTTTCTTCCTTCATTTATTCCTTCTTTCCTTCCTTTCTTCCCTCTTTCCTCCTTTCTTCTCTCTCTCTCTCTTTCTCTTTCTCTCTCTCTCTCTCTCTCTCTCTCTCTCTCTCTCTCTCTCTCTCTCTCTCTGTCACTTTCTTCCTTTCCCTATTTATGTATTTGATATATTTTCCCTATGTATTTGATATATTTTGATATATTTGTGATACCTCTTTTTATTTCCTCTTACAGTTATTTCATTATAAGATTCTCTACACTTCTTTAGTTAATGTCTTATTCATACAACTTCAAATGTACATCTCTTGGGAGACTAGAAATATTTGCTTCTCTTTCTTCCACACTCACAACATCCCATTCTATTACACACATAAATTCATTTAAATTCATGGGGCTCACCTAGTTCCATGTTTCTTATCTCATTTGATCCTTTCAATAACCCTGATTTTAACCCCTGCTTGCTGGATTATGAACTGTCGATCTCAGAGATGTAAAATGATTTAATGAAGGTTGTCCATAGCTAGTGGCTGACCAGAGTAGAGCCTAACTCCAATAGACATCATGTGATGCTTCTGAAAGGCCTCGAGGGAAAGCTTTGGTTTCAGAGCTGAGTGGGCAAAAATGCATTCCACTTGCCCCTCCACATCCATGGTAGACATCACTCATTCTTCGCAGGGCTCTTTCCTAGCAAGTGTGGTCTCCACTCAGACGCCTTCTCAACTCAACGCTGCAGGAAGGCACATGTTGACTTTCAAGGCTTACTACAGTTTAAGTTGAGTTTCTGTTCCTGTCGATGTAAATAACCCTGACAGACATAGTCTTTCAAGAGAAAGTCCTCCTTTCCATAAATCCTAGAGCTGTAAGGAGATACAGCATTCCAGAGCCAAAAGGAACCTGGGAGTCTGCTACTGAAGATGCTACAAGCACATGCACATTCAAGAAATGCCATGTATTGCTTAAAGTGGCATGAGTGAGATTAGATCTCCATCTTTCTGCCTTCCAGAGGAAAATTCTAGGTTTCCAATGCCATGAATTTTCCATAGACGGATGCACTGATTCCATCCTGAACTTCCAAGTTCACATATCCAGTGACATCCAGGACAGACTCACTGGCATCTCCCTCTCCAGGTGGCCCAGCCTGAGCCCATCAACATTACTTGGATCGGTTCTTCAGGCTCGTCCTTCTCTATGGCATAGAAACACCAACTCAAGCCACAAACATGGCACTGTTGCTGACTCAACCCTCCTCTTCTCCCACAGCACAACTGCTGAACCCCCAAGTCCTTCTAGCCTTGCCTAACAAATACTTCTCTAACCTATCCCATTTCCCTCACTTTGAATATTGTTCCACTTCCTGCCTCGGGTGTCACCTCCCAGGTTGCATTCTCCACACTGCAATCAAAGGCATATTTCTAAAATGCAAAACCAACCGCATCGCTCATTTCCAAAACCTCTTCAAGCAATTTGCTCAGTCATTTAGTCATGCATCACGTAGGTGTGGGGCATGCCCTGGATACGGCAAATATAAGACAGACTCAGAAACACACTTAATCCCTGCCCTCAGAGGGAAGGACAGATAGTGACCAAATAGTTCCACAAATTGCATAAAGGTTACATATGGTTTTATGATAAGTGCCATGAAGAATATCTGGTCTTAGGAGTACGATGAAGTCATTGAGTTGATCTGAGAACCAGGTGTTGGAGCTTAGCTGTCCCATCCCTTCATTTATGTAAGACTCTGTTATTTGTCTTCAAGACTTAGCCAAGGTGTTGCCTCCTGATTCCCCGAGGCTCCCTAAGGCACCACAGCTCTATCACAGCTCTGTCCATGCTGCTTTATAGGTTTCCATTTTCCCATCAGTGTCCTCCCACTAGACCATGAATGCTTCGATAGCGGGGGGCGAGGGGGGGAACCTATCTTTCCATCTGTACAAGTCAGTGGCTCTCACCCTTGGCAGTCCATGGGAATCCCACAAGGGAGCTTTTAAAGATTTCAGATTCCTGGCCCCACCCTCCAAACAATTTAATCAGAATCTCTGAAGGTCAGGCTCAGACATAGGTTTTTGTTTTAAGTCCCACCCCCTGGTGATTCTAATGTGCAGGCAGAGTTGAGACTCTCAGGCTGAGCCTGGCATCTAGCACAGTGCCAGAGCATCGATTTTTATAAAGAACTAAAAGGCAGGGATCTCCCTTCCCCCTCCTGTTACCCCAACTGCCTCTCAGGTCAGGTACTCCTCCCTTCCAGAAAGTCTGACCAGGTCAGATCCCACCGTTGGAGGCTCTGGTCCATGGCACCGATCATGCCTTTGCCATTTCACACTTCCTTATGCAGTTCACTTTATATGCTGTCAGTTTTATGATGTCAATTTTCAATGCAAACACTTTCTAAATGAACAAAAATGGGGTTGTAATAGTTTCCAAACCCCTTCAACTTACTTTTCTCTTAGCGATATACCACAGACATTTCCCACGAGAGTCCCAAGAAGGCAAAGAAGGCCAGGTCTGATTTTTACTTATCATTGCCATGTCCAGCCTCATTCCCAGCATATATTAGACACTCCATCAATAAATAATCAGTGAATGGATGTATGAGCAAAATAACATAACGGAATAGAGAATACCAGGGCAGTTGTTGGAGTGGATACTCCTTTCCCCTCTCCTTCTAATGGGCAGTGTCTTAATGAAAGCCTCACTCTTGGTCACTGTGTCCCCAGGCATGACCCACAATTATTCATTCCCACTTTTCCCTTTCCAGACAATGGATTAGTCTAAGGTCTGCTCAGAGCAAGAGATGCCTTCAAGGGTTCTTGCTTCTGACAAGCTGAGAAAATTGATTATGAAGTAGATGCCCTGACAGCTGAGATACGTAATGTTTTCTCCAAAAGTTCAAAAGAAAAATAGTCAGAGAGGCCTTCCACTCTTGCCACATCAGTGCAGGCATGGGGAGAAGCCACCCTTAAGAGGAATCATGGAAAATCTACCCCCTTCTCCACTCCCATCCCTAAATTGGTCTCCTGGTGAACTGGGCATTGGGTACTCCTGGAGCATAGGAAGTGTTTAGTACATGGGAAAAGAGTGGAGTGGGCAGGAAAGTCTGTAGATCTGGAATCAGACACAATTGAGTTTCTGAGACCTCAGGAATGTCACTTAACCTCTTAAAACTATTTCCTTGGTTGTCAAGTGAGGATAATATAAACGACACTCCCGTTTATAATGAGGAATAAATTATATGAGATATATAAGCTACATGGCACAATTCTGAAATATTATAACTTATATTGCTTCCTGGCCTATGAAAGTACTGGACTAGATCCAACAGACATTTATTGGGCACTCACTCTGTGCCAGGCCACCTGCTAAGCACAAAGGAGGCACGCATCCAAATCAACCATCCCTCTTTCATTTCTCCCTTCTCTCTTTGCTTCCCTCTACCCCCATGTGTGTTGAGAACCTAATTTGCCCTATGAAATGGCGTGAAGAGTGGCACTGGTCTGTTTGGGATGGAGAGCTCATTAGGGAAAGCATCTCAAAGATGTGCTCTGTAGCTGCAATCTGGAGCTGAACAGTCACAGAAGCAGCATTCCAGGAGATAGAACATGTGATTTATAGCAAAACTAGAACCCAGATGCATGAAATTCATGCATGGTGGTCCCTC